TTCCGGATGACGTTCGGACGACGTGATACAATGTTCTGGGTGTTGACGGGTATTTTTATAGTTTCATTGGGAGGTGACCGATCGTACGTAGGAATAGAGTCGGTGTCGATGACTCAGAGGCGCCGACTAATACGTACGAGAGAACCGTGCATCTGGGCGTATACATATACCTGAGCGCATGACATACATCTGATAATCGTTCTCCTATTTCATCTTCCTTTCTTCCTTTCTTATTTTCTCGATTTAGCGGGATTGCCAACTCGACCAGGTTAACTAAATCGAAAACTTAAAATTGTCAGACACCTGCTGCCCAAAAGATCGCCCCTCCCCTTCCCCGCCCCTCGCTCTTTTCGACCAAATGAGTATCAACCTTGTTCGTTTCTCGCTTTTCCTTCAAGTTTAATTCATTGTTCGCGCGCTTGATACGCGCGTTACTCGATACCGTGCGAACGAATAAGCAATTCGAGTAGGAATTATTTCGCGATCGGCCCCCTTTTCCGATCAATCGTCGGGTCGCACAGAGATAGTAATTCGTTTAGCATATCTCGACCGCGTTCCGTTTCTTCCATTTCCGGCGTCTCTATGTTTGACGTGGGGAAATACGTTCACGTTTAATCGTGTCTCTTTTTCACTTTTTGCACGCAACGTAACGCCGAGTTGAGAATTCTCATCTTCCCATTTCGTTGTTTATGTCGCGTCGCGTACCATGAATCAGGGTGCATGGTAAAATGAAATAAAATTGTTGATAAATACCACGCGATACTGTTTCAAACGATTTAATATATAGTACTTTTAGTTTTACAATATTCGAGATAACTCGGCACAACTTTACTTTTACAATGCACGTGCTACTCGTATTCTCTAATGTTCGCACTCGGACGGCCATGACACTATCGATTCTCGTATCGATTCTCGAGTGCCCTCACTCGCTCACTCGAAATCAGGCATACTTGGAAAAAGTCCTGATAGAGGTCTACACCGGCAATTTGGAAATGGTGATTGAAATAGAAATGTCCGCCCTAACCAACAAAAATAACGATGAAAATCTGTTTGACGTGGAGTGGGTGTACGATATCGAAAGGAGAAAAGAGAAAAAGATGAAAAAGTATAGATACTGGTATAGATACTCGTATAGGTACTCGTTCAAGGCTGATGGGGTGGTAATGCAGATTGGAGAAGAAAGAATGGAGAAACGATTCGTCTTTATGTAACGAATCGCGCGCGGTGATCCCGATATCCTTGGTTTCGAAGCCGACGAGGCGCGAAGAGTATCCGTGCACTTGATCGGGAGAACGGGAATTAAAACAGGGGCAGAGAAGAGCGTGTATAGGCACGAAAGATGGAAGAAAAACGAAAAGAAACGAAATCGATGTTCGCTCGGTGAACAATGATGATGTCTCGCGGTAAATTTGCCGAGTCGGCATCTGGTTAGGAAGATAAGTTGAGGAGGTACGAACAAAGGACCGAGGAAGAGAGATCGATGAAAACGTATAATAGATGTATTTACATAGAGACGGTTAAATTGGAGCCGAACAATTGGAGATTCGTCGAAGGATAAAGACGTAGGCTGCGTAACGAGCTTTTACGGTCGATTCGTTGGAAAATGCAATGAAACTTTCACGACGATCGTCGACTGAAGTCAGCTGCAAGGGATACAGTACGCGACAAAATGATAGCACGCTATATGATTTTCAGCGTTTCTCGAGTAACTCGCGGAATTAAATATCAAAATTTTATTTCGCAACGAAAGGTTAGTAGTACTATTCGAAGCAGTTGACGAGGATATTGGAAAAAAGAAAATGAGTATTTTAGAATATTTTCGTGAAAATAGCAAAATTCGATATCTTTCATTCGTGTATTTATTTCAGAAACCTAAGACGATCGGCAGCTCTTGCTGCCAGTGTCGGATTCAACGCGAGAAAATATATGAGGGGCCCCTTCATCTCCATTTTCA